CGGCAAGCATTTTGTACTTTCAAAGTGTAAAATGTTGCTCCAATATTCCGTTGGTCCAGCGCCCAGCCTCATCCTGATTGGGAAAGTAGTAGAGGAAGTAGACAAATTTTCCTACATGGGCAGCTAGATTTCTCCAGGCGGACGCATCGCAGATGAAGTGTCCGTGGGTATACAAAAGGCTCGTTTGGCATTTGCAAACTTGTGACATCTATGGATCGAGTATCTGCTGCAGCAGTTCGGATGTCGCTGCCTTACGGTGCAGAGCATAGAAATAGATTGTCAGCGTTCGAACTTCGCGGTCTACGTCGAATTGTACGAGTCTGGTGGGGTACCCGGAAAACAAAAGCTGAGATGTTAGGCGTTTTGACAATCGCGGTCGCCCACCGCAGCAAGTGGTAGACTTCCACGCATTACGCTGGTTGGGACATGTGTTACGCATGTCACGAGACAGGTTGCCACGGTGAGCGATGTTTGCTGAGGCAGCGGGTGGTTGGAAAAGGTGAAGGGCGGTCAAACAAGGACCAGGAAACTGGGTCACATAGGTCCCGTTAGACTCCCTGGGTGGGTACCCTGAGATGATGGTTACCGATGATTAGACGCTGAAAGATACGGTAAGGTGTCACAAACAGTGGCGCTATTTTATCTACTCATCATTCTTGTACCAGCAGTCTATAAATTCGCTATCTTCCGCTTGAATTTACTTTAAACATTCTAATCTTCATTCTGCTGTTGTATCGAAATGTGCAACGAAAACCGGCTCACGATAGTGCATGGTTAATAGTTGCTAGAACTGCACTGAACTCTGTCGCATAGCATCATAATGCGTGGAGCAAGGGAAAGGGAAATGGATGACGCTGATTTTCACGAGAATAGCATGCATTCGCCATGTTGTGGTAGATCTAGACGTACGAATGACACGAGCGACCTATGCGTAAAACCTCAACAACAACGTGGGGATAGAACACAGCTAGAGAGAACAGTCAGCGTGCATTATTTATTAGATTTCAATACGCAACTATATAAAACAAACCACGCATAAGAGAACGGCGCGGATTAACTCCAATCAGATTGAGTCTTTGAAATTGTGACTGATCGAAGAACGACCACTGGCTGACTCTTTCTACTGAAAGCCCATCCGAGCTCAGCCTGCGAAGCGCGTCGAGAGCGTGCGTATTGCCTCACGCGAGGACGTGTGCGATACGAGCTGTTAAACCCCGTCTTGACTACCCCTTTTGAGCTCGATGGCTTGTTGTAGGATCGCAAGCTGGGGTTGATTCAGAACGGTACTGTTGCTATGCGATAGGTCCGTCGTCGAGGATATGAAGATATTTTTTTTCGCGGAGGGTGCCGGTTGCGTGGATCATGCCTGGGACTGGCATGGCAAACGTGATCTTCAATATGTTCAACGACAGAAAAATGTACCACCCTCCAAACCTCCTATGAGCCGAACTCTTAGTTGAGCAGTTCCATTCATCAATCAACCAATCAGGCCGATAAAATGATCAAGGTTCTACATAGGAAACAAAACTTCGACTGTCAAAGACAGTACTGGTAACACGAGAAATATTTCAGAATTACCTCCATCCATATCATATGATTCGTAACTTCGAAATTGAGGGACGTTATGACGAGGGGGAATATCAACAATCGATTCTGAAGAAGCAAATGAAAAAACAAAGGTTTTAAAAAAATCAGAAATTAAAATAAAGTATGTATGATTGCTCAAGTATCTGAGGATAAATGAGAAAACCCTCACAAACCACGAAGTAGTTATCAGGAACACTGGCATGCCAAACTATCTAGCAAGCCTTACAAACCCCTTTCCATCACATTGCTCCCGCGAGAAAATTACGTCAAATATTTGCATTCACCAAAAAACATGCATATACGAGCTACCAGCGGATACAGTGTATTGTTTTAAAACGTGTCGGGGAAAAGGCTTTTTTCTGTTTCCTTTGTTGTGTCATTCAGAAATTCGGAGAAGGAAACTGGGATATAACCGATTAAAGAACGCGACGAACTACCAGACCCATAGGACATTCGGCTTACCTACTAAATTGGTAACCACAGGACAAACCAGCGTCACCCGGAGCATACGACCGATTCGGTGGAGTTCGGATTTCGGTTCGCGCATCTACTGCAGATTTAGCGCTTGTCTCACATAAATCATCAGCCGCATCTGCGACCCACGGAAAACTTCCTTATGGTTGACTGAATGGTCGCATCGTCTCCCATGGTGCCTAAGACCTCTAATTTTACAGAAATATTACCTCGCCTTCACCTTTATTTAACTATTATTCCTCTTTACAAATACGACATTGATGACACTAAATATTACTCCGCCCGATGCACTGGCGTTTCTATAAACAATAGCAGTGCTGCCTGGGGTTTGAATTATTCTCCATCAGTTTTGGGGTTGTGTTCTCACTAACATCCACAAAAGCACCGTGAATTTCTGCCAAACAAACACTACGTTTCAATCAAATTTTGTCTCTTTCACAGAATCACGCAACCGATGGCGAAGAGCTGCAGATCCACATTCACAGACTGCAATATCTGCTGGCATACCGCACTTTTCACGATCCCAGTCGACGAAAGGTCCCTGGACTCATCAGGCAAACAATCAGTACAGGAAAACAATGCACCTTAAGACAAGAATTAAAATCATCAACGTAAGTTCCATGCGACCGAATGAATGAGCAAAAACCCTAACTGTGACCTAGTTTCCACGGCAACGTGGGGCAGCTGCTTATTATTCCCAATTCCAAGGCTACTGCACTTTAACCCATCAGGCTTAAGCCAAAACCCGAAATGCTTTAGCCTCGACCCGGAATCCTTTAGCCTTCGCCTACATTTGTTTAGCCAAAACCTGCAATGCTTTAGCCACGACCCGCAGCCCTTTAGCCTCCACGCACAACCTTTAGTCACACCGCTGTAGGCGATTCAGAACAAAAACTATCGGAATATTCCGAGGTCAACGAATGTTGAAAAAATTTATATTTTACAAATTTTGATATTGCAAAGCTTGACTAATAAATGAGAAGGTGTGGCGATCGTATGCTGCGCAGTTGACGGTAGTAACGGTATAAAATGCCGCACCGTATAGTGATTGGAGTAGGTTTAGACGATGTGTCCGTATCGTCAAACCATTTGGTACATCTCGTATGTGTTTTCAGGTAACCCGATTTTAATGTACTAAATAATAAGCGAATTAAAGGATTGAAATCGCCAACCTGTTTGAATTTACTTAAGATCTCTTCCAATGGATTGAAAAAGAGGACTGTATGGTGGGAGAAATCGGACTTGATGGTTGACAGTTAATTGTGCATCCATAGCTCTCCGATGAACGGGCACATTGTCAAAAACAAAAACTACTGGGACACCCGGTTGCTCAGTAGGGATTAGCGTATACAACTTGATAGGAACCCATTGAAAACATGCCAAGTAATCTTCGTATGACATTCATATTTCAGGATACCGGCGACAGGTGAAGATGCTATTATGTTCAAGTTGGGTACTTTGCCGGACGGGAGGCTTTTAA